TTAACTTCTTACTTTGATCAGGATATGCTATTAAGATCCCTAAAAGATAACTTTATCAAGCCAATTGCAAATACTGCTCTTATTACAGCAAAGTTATATAAAAGTGGAAAAGAAATATAAGTCCATCCGTGTAAAATGCACCATGGAAATGGGGGAGGGAGTTTCAATTAAATATATACTAAGCTCAATCTCATTCAGATCTTTTGCTCAAATAGGTGACATCTAAGAGCTCTGTGGCTCCACTTCAGTGTCCCATAGGCACCACTCACTCTGACCTCCAGCAAGTCCTTTAGGAATGCTCTCCATCCAAGTGTTCAAAAATGACAATTCATGTAGCGCTGTCAGTACTATTTTTATATTTTACTTTGTCAAGGCTGCATTTTCAACATTTTAGTAACAGCCAAATCATCCAATGTCAACAGGAGGTGCTAAAAAATGAGTTGGTATAATTTCATTCTTCTCCCTTTTTTGTTAGCATTTACAAATATAACTGTTTGCTAGTTATCATGGTAAGAATATGAGTCAGTCTTCCTCAAAGTAATATATATGTATAATATGTCTGTATATATACATATATATACAGACATATACATGTTTATATAATATATATCTCCAAAGTAAATATAAGGATATAGATATAGATATGTCAGTTCAGTGCTGGGGATTAAACCCATGGCTTTATGCATACTAGACAAGTGTCAACCCAATATAAACTTCTTAATATGGTCTACAGACTATAAATCTGCTATAATACTGTTAATGTTTAGATGTTACCCTTACATTTACTTTCCTTTATCTTGTACTATGACATCTTCCATTACCTACTGTAATTTAATGCTGAAAAAACTCCTGCTAGTAAGTACATATGCTAAATGATGATGATTATATGGAAAGGTGAGGGACCCAAGCCCTGTGATATAGTGTGATATAGTGTGTGAGTGCCTGCACAATGTTTGTGCACACACATGAAAGAACGTGTGTGACATGTACGCAAATGATATTCAAGGACTGAAAGCAATACTACATTTTGCTTGAGGGTAAGGATCATTTCTTGTTCACTGTTACATTCCTAGTACTTAACACTGTACCTGGCACACAGCAAATTTTATGTTGCATAAAAGGAGGTTAATAGTGTTCCACATTTCCACTGGCAAAACCAGGATTTCCACTTTAAAAGGAGAATGGAGGTACATCTACAGCAAAATGTTGTATATTTGGTTTTCTACAGGCTGATTTTTTTTTTTTTTTTTGATACCAGGGATTGAACTCGGGACCTTGCACTTGCAAGGCAGGCGGTGGAACCACTGGGCTAAATCCCAGGCCCCTACAGGCTGATTTCTATGCACATAGCAGATGCTAAGATTTATAAGAATGGCAAGGAAACTGAACACACAGAATTTGGACTTTCAGTCTAGTTGAGGTGGTAAGATATACACAAGTGAAGACTTAACTCCTAATTCAAGAGAAAGCGTAATGGCATGAGAAATGCATGAGTTCCAGCTGCTATGGACTAGAGTCCTTAAGGAAAGCTATGTGAATAAGGCAGAAATTGGGTTAGACCTTTAAGAATAAAAGATGGGGGAGGGAATAGTCCAGAAGGGGTGGGGAGAGAGACAAAGGAGCAGTCATGGAGACAGGAATAGATGTGAGGCTTCAAATTTAGGAAGCAGTCGTTAGACTTAGAAAAATAAAGATGGCAGAAGAAACAAAGATAGTAATGAAATAGATAAGCATGTACATTCTATATATTAATCACTTCATACCTAAAATCTGTCTCTGCTGGAGAAAAAAAAGTAATGTTAAAACTCAGCTACTTTGTATGTGCTGTGAACTGGGGCAAACGGAGTGAGACATATGTCAGAGGACCGCTGTGGGATCCCTGGGCTGGCAAGCAGCAAGGAACTGTGCCTCAGCAGGATAGGCCCTGAGGACCACTGCAACTTGCGGGGGGAGGGAGGGAGGTCAGGCAGGGTGACACTGGGGAAGGCTCAGGCACAGGACTCTATTTCTTTAAAGGCTTTGATTTCAACACAGACGTGACTTTCCCAAAGTCTTAGGTGACCTGAGTTACTTACACGGCTGTTCTTGCACCAATTTCCATTTATTTAATATTTCTAAGGGTTCAAAAGGGTCTAATCTGTATGCACAACTGTTCTGCCAACAAGAATGAAATGCATAAGGAAAATGTTCAGAATTTTGAGTCAAAGAGATGGAAAATTATTTTGCACATCTATAAAACCAGGGTTAAGTATTAAGAACCTCAAGGAGTAACGATAATTAAATATTTAAAAGCAAAAGAGTGTGCGGGGTAGGGTTCTTTTCTAATGATGTTTAGGAATTGATATAAGTAATTTACATAAAAGGTAATCATAGCCACATAGATAAATCGTTCATATATTGTGTTTATGTGTGAGAGTAAGTAGAACTGATCTGGTGAAACATTTTCTAAAACTTTCAAAGATACTTTACTATGAAAGTCACTTATATAGACCCTTTAAACTTAAGTTCATTAGTAGAATGTTAATGAAAAATAACTTGAGAATGTTTCCTAAATAAAGCATATCTATGCAGAGATGTACCATGATGTTTCAAACAACATTAATTATATCCTCTTGATGTCTACTGTATTGTAAAAAGCTAATAGGACCTGGACTACATCATAGTTAATAGGAGCGTGGTGCTTGTTGCTTAGGCAACAGTATGAATAAATGCAGGTCAGAATGTGCTTCAAGAAAAACAAAAGCTAGAATATGATCTCAGGTGGAAACTAAGCAGGCCTAACAGAGATTTTACCACATTAATGAAGTCTGTTTCTTAAAGTGGGCCAATCGTGTTAGTGTGCTTTGTTTATAAGTTTATGGGAAAATTAGATTATGGAAACCAATCAATAATTTTATAAAGGTAGAAATTAATCTCTTATGATACTAGTAGCAAATAAATGGGGTATAACAGCACGTAAAGCACTGATGACATCATTTTATGATTTTCTTCATTATTATAATTAATTCTACATAATCAAAGTTTTTAAAAAATTCTGTCCATGAAGAAAGTATTTGATTAGCTCATCTGAATTAACACTATGTCCTAATTTTATATAATGTATATAAAATAATCTATATGTCACTCAGAATTAAACAAGTAAAGAAATCTATGATTAGACCATGGTTTTGACACAAATGTCCCGGAGTTTTGCCTTTCAGATAGAATTTGTACTAGTTGTACATAATTCACTCATGAATGTTTTTTACAATCTCTCCCCAAATTCTTATTTAAAATCTGATTAACCTTTCAGTTAGAGGCTTTCAAAAAGGATTATATTTGTTCATAAGTGTTCAACATTCAGAAGAAAATTAAGCTGAATTAAAGTCTTTCAATGTGGTCAAATGACCCAGGAAATCCAGCCCTAACTTTTCATGGACCAGAATAAATTTGGACAAAGGTTGAAAACCCTATTTCAAGTAGAGATAAGGAGAAAAAATAAAGATGTTGAAATAGGCAGGAAACACATATAATGATGAAATGACTTAGTTCCTCTAATTCTTAATGCCATCTGTTTAGTGTCCTAAGTCTGCTTTGAATCTGCTCTCCGTGTCCTAAGACTTTCACAGAAATTGAAGAACTTTCACTTTTTTTCCTTTTTCCTATTTCAATATCCACAATATCTTGTCTATCTAATCAGTGACAATACTTCATTAACACAAGAAAAATAACAGCAGCTCATTATTTAAAATGTATCTCATGATTAAAAATAATACCTCATTATTTTAAAAACATTCATAAAGAGTTATGAATGCACTATCACTTCAAGCTCATACGCCTCACTACATTTATGTCTTTTTTTAAAAGCTAATAGGCATATACATTTTGGGGGAAGAAACAGAAGTTTAACAATTTTAATAATCTTCAAATCTCTAACAGTCAAGTCAAGGTTAGAGAAAAATAATTTCAAATGGAAACAAAAAGATCTGACTAGCCCTAAGTACTATTATGATCATCTCTGGTATTTAGCAAGCTGCAGGTGTCAGCCCCAGCATTTTATTTAAGAAAAGCTTCGAGTTATTTCTACTAACAATTTGCCTGCTTACATGGCTATGTTATGGGGGGCTCTCTCAATTTAGGGATCAGTGATAAGTGTGATGACACCTAGGGAAAGTAACAGGGCTGTGACGTAGCCTAACAAGGGGAACTGATGAGCATGGCGGGAGGTATGGAAATGATTAGAAAGCTCCATTGTCACCCGCACACTTCCTCATCCTCCTGCCTACCTATGTGCATCCCAGTAGGAAGTTTGCACATGCAAGGTTTTGACTGCATGGCGACCAGGATTCAGAACTACATGAATATACTTAGTACATCAACCCCTCTTCCTAAATACTGACAGCTAATTCACCGAAGTGTTTGTTTTCCACCTAAAGTATCAAACAATACTTCATGGCTCTTCAACCAGCATGTGTCAGTAAGTGAATGCTCTCCATAACTGACCATCTGAAACAGTTTGCTAATGAACTGAAAGTCTCTCACATGATTTAAACTGCTTATTGAACAATTATCGGGGAAAAAATGACCTTCACAGCGCCAACATAACAAATTGTCTAATTAATCACTGAACGCTGGTGCTCAAGTGAAATAATATGTTTTAGGAACCGAGAATTAGCTTACTAACTGGGTTTTCTAAGATCACAAATTTATAAAACACACACACAACAAAGAATGACAAGGGAGAATATAAATGTTGATCTGCTTTCACTGACTATAAATAGTACTCTCGCTGGTTCATTCACTTAACACACATGTACACGATGCATACAGATCTCATTTTTCAGCAAGTGTCTATCTGTACACAGTAAGTTCAGTCCCAAGGGCATCCAGTTTTCTGATGCAGTTACACATACAAAAACTGATCCGTTTCAGTGCAAATCAGGCTGCCTCGGAGCCATGTAAAACACATGAGAAGCAAAGACACACAAAAGGCAGCTCCGTGGACACAGACAGCATCTTACCATAAACTGCACATTGTCAAATCCATTAGCCATCAGGTGGTTCTCGTACTGAGGTAGCCCGAAGCTTTCCAACCATTGTCCCACTGTTTGGACAGGGCACCTGGGTCCTGTAAGAGGATGAAGAGGGAAGCGTTTAAGCAGGGAGTAGCCGTCCGCAGGGTAATAGCGGTAGTCCTGGGCTGAGAGGTGGCATTGCCACATCATGCTCCTGGGAAAGTTGCTATCAAAGGAGCCCGCCAGCTTGGCAGATTAATGTTCTCAGCGAGAGAGCAAAGTCAGAAGTAAAACATAGTTTGCCAGGCAGGCTGTGGAGTCTGACTTGATCCTAGCTCCACATTTCTTACATATTAATCTTTACTACCGACCAGTACGTCATACAGCCCCCAGAACCAGGCAGCAGAAGAAGGCATAGCGGGCTGTCAGCTCAGGCTGGGCTGCGTTCTGCGTGATTGTTGGAGTACTCCACAATGAGCGATGCGCGGCCAGCAGCCAGAATTCTTTTTATCAAGTACTCCTACACTCATCAGTATGCAGCTCCATGCTCCATGCTCCCCCTCGCTCGCTCCCCTTCATTACCCAGCCCAGGCTACACCTCGCATTTTCAATAATAGCCATCAGATAAGGCAGATTTTTTTGTCTGCAAGCTGTAAGCCTGCTGCTGCTGCTGCTTCCTCCTACACACCCATCCAAGCGTCAATCTTGAATGATGAGAGCAGTCAAAACAAATGCAGAAAATAGCAAGACTCAAAAGCAAACCAAAGTGCTTAAATCTGAATTGAATCTTCATACCGGTTATACATTACCGGGCTATTTGTTGCCCAATTTTACCTTTCAAAAGACACCAGGAAATGCGAAGCTTAAACTATAGCTTACAGCAGAGCTCACTACAGGTTCCCTTTTCCCTTTCCCTTTCTTGCCTTTCCTTTCTTCTTCTTTTTAAAATGCGGCACAGATAAGGTTCCGAGATCTAAAGCTTTACAGTGTTTAGAGAATAATTATTCTTTTTCTTTACCACACTGTATCGAATCGAACCTCTCTGAGATATTTTTCTTTCCTTTTTGATTACTGCAACATACAGAAACTGCACTGTAATCTTGAAGCCAAGATAATTTGTTCCATTTGCAAGGGCTTCTTCCAAACAAAAATATTATTAGGCACAAGAAATCCCTTTCCTGTCTGGTATTTATAAACCTATCTACCAAGGTTACCATTCTAAAATAGCTGTAAAGGTAACATTAACGGAGTAGAATTTTTTAATACTGAAGAGGAGCCCTATCTTCCAAAAATAATTCAGGAATAACAGATGTAAATGTCTGAGTTTTACTGAATGGCAGACAGACTAATTTATTTAATAATTGGGAAAAACCAGAGATTAATAATAGAACCCACAGGACTACATCGTCAGAAGAAAAGACTCTTAAGACTGGGAGAGAACTCGTAGAAAGGTGAATCTAGCCTCTTTCCAAAGGTAGGAGTCCCTCGTAACAATGTTCCTGGAAGAGTCTCATCCAACTTATGCTTGAATACTGCCCCGACAGAGTCCTTACTACTCACCAGAAAGCTTCTATTTATTAGAAAAATATTTTACTCCCCACCTTACTCCTGCTCTCTAGCTCCAGCTTTGCCGTTGGAGTCACCCAGGTTAGGGATGGTGCCTCTTCCACATAAAGTGCTTTAAAAAATTAAAAGATAACTCTTTCTCACCCCTACCCACAAAACAGCACTGGGCACATAGTAAGTGCCCAATAAATATTTATTGAATACATGAAGTGTCATTTTTCTTCTTCCTCTAACTTTCATCTTTCCGGTTCCTCTCCCTTTTTAAGGGCATCATCAATCTCATCGTGGGCACAGACATTAACTCTCCAACCCTTTTGCACCTCTCTGCGCTGCTGACATCAGTCCCCAAGTTTCAGCTGTCCCCCATCACAGTGCCTGCCTGTTTCCTATTTTATGTTTATGGAACTTCCATCTACTTTGATTTTGCTCTTTTTTTTATTTTTTAACTTTGCCCCAAAGTCTCAGAATTCTTTATTTTAAAAATGACTGGCCCTAATGCAACAGTGAGTGAGTGACTTGTGTGTTGGTCTCTTTACTTCTAACACTTTTTTAAAAATCTACTTGATACCTGGTGTCAGCATAATTCTTCAAGACACAGTTTTGATGAGTGTTCCCTGCTTCAAATAACCTGTGGTTAATTTTTTTTTATTAGTGTCAAAATAAACTCCCAACTCCTCTGATGACACTTCAGGGTCTTCATGATCACTCTGTATCAGCTAACCTTGTCTCTCCTTCCAAGATAACCCTTCCACAATGCCCCAGCAAGGGAGATTACCCAGGTCTCTGCAGGCAGTCCGTAGAGCACTCTGCTTGGTTTTACCATGTTCCTATGTTTTTAGCTATTTGCAGGCTTTGGGTCAGATCTCACTTCCCTTATGAATCCTTTTCTACCGTCCTCCCTAGCAGGAAGGCATCTTTCTTCTTTCTCTTAGACGACATTCTAGACCTACACGATAGTTACTGGTGTACAAGACTCACTTCTTGAAAGCAAGGACTGTGCCTTGCTAACATTTCACACAGTGAGGGTTCGGTTCGCACTCATTAAACAACATAATGTAATCTCACAATCCAAACTACATACAGCTTCTTATTTTCACATTCAAAATTTTAACTCCACTTGAAGTCTCTGAATTCTTTATTTCAAAAAAAGGTATGGCCAGGCGTGGTGGTGGGTGCCTGTAGTCCCAGCTACTCAGGAGGCTGAGGTGGGAGGATCGCTGGAGTCCAGGTGTTCTGGGCTGCAGAGTGCTATGCCGATCAGGTGGGTGTCCGCACTCAATTCAGCATCAATATAGTGACCTCCCGGGAGCAGGGGACCACCAGCTTGCCTAAAGAGGGGTGAACTGGCCCAGGTTGGAAATGGAGCAGGTCAAAAGAAAGGTATATATCTTTGGTTTTTAAATAGAGTTTTCAGGCCTGGATTTTAGTTCATCATCCACATTCTCATTTTGAGTAGGCATCCATAGGTGGATTGCTTTGTACTTAATTAGAATTTATTCCTGATTGGCTCTACATTTTTGATTGGTCCTTATTTTGATAAGGCTGGTGATCAAACCTAGGCCTCCATGCACACTAGGTTCTACCACTGAGCTATATTCCCAGCCTTGTTCTGGATCATTTTAGAAGACCAAAGAATTTGTAAAAGTGAATGAATCAATTTTAGTACATTCTGGTTGGTCAACATTACCTGGACAAGAAGCCAAAAACAAGTCGCTATTTGATCCTGGCTAGCTCTAAAGCTGTTACAATGTGAAGCTAAAGGTAAGTCTCAATTCTAGCTTTTCCTTGACTCCATCCACAATGTTCCTCCTGATCATTTTAAAGCATGAGTAGGTGAATAAGCAACAAAAAACTGAGCAAGTATGACAATAACATTTTGGCTCAGTGAGGCATAAATGGACTGGCCAGCTCCTCAAATCATATCTCATCTTTTAAGATGTAAACCAGGGACCAAGTGCCTAGCAGAGCAACACACAGTTCCAAGTCTTAAATCATCTTTGTTAAGGGAATGAATGAATGACATTAGAAATGGCTTCCCTGAGAGTTTGACAGCTTAATAAACAGAAAGGGAGCAGTATTTCAGAGTTCAGACTACTATAGTAAACTATGGTTCATGGAGATTATTAGTTATTAAGTACTTTAGAAATCTTTTTATAGACTTCCTAATTTTCATTCTTTTAAAAATTGGAGCCTTCAGTTCCCATTTCATATGTTGGCCAGAGGCTATAACACAGGTGAAGGGAGTTGGGAGAGGGTGAGGCAGAGGAAAGTGGTCAAGGAGAAGGAAGAAAATAACCAGAGACCTTGAGTCATGTTCCTGGTGAGTGGCTTTGTTATAAAATATTGTCTTATGAGTCAAACTTAGAATGGACCTTTGGGTCAGGCTCGAAGATCACTCTTTTGGTAGTGTTTAAATATATGCTTCACGTATAATACTTTCTTGGAGTCTTAAAATTCTCAAAGAATAACAACACATTATCAGACAGGCATCTTCATTCAATTAGAACTTACACCCAGAAGTGGGACAAGGGGAGGAATTCAGGGCTGCTATGTCCTGAATATTGTGGTACAGATTATTATTCTCTTTTATGGTAAGGAAACCAAAGCTCAAAGAATGAGATGAAACCAGGAATTGGCTTTGGCACAGTCGTCTACAAAACATAATTCCAGGAGTTCCTCTCCAGGATGGCAGTGTACCGAGCTTCACAGAACCAACTCTAGCCCAGAAGCATAACTGCCGAAAATAAAACAAAAGCATTCCCAAACTCTAAAACTCAAAGCAATAATAAAAAGAACAATTCAAAGCCTATGCAATGTGCCCTAAGACCACATAATGGATGAAGAAATATTTATTCAGAAAATCTAATAGAACTTGGTACAAACGGAAAGATTCTGTGGCTCACTTCCACCCTCTTGCACAACCTAAGACAACAGGCTCCTTCCCTGCTCAGCTCCCAAACTGCAGATCAAAGAGGCAGGCCAAGCCCAGCCCCCCCCCCCCACAAATGGCAGCCATTAAATTCCAGGTGGGTGGAGCCAAAAGGTTCTAAGCTTCCTTCCTTTCCCAGCCACTCTCTCCCTAACCTCCATTCACGAGGCAGGGAGTCTTTCCCAGATTTGGGGCATCAGTACCCTGCCTACTTCAGGGTGGAGGGCCCATGCCGGAGAGGTGAGAACACCAGAGGCCAGTGTTGTTGTCCATAGCCCAGCACAGTGCAGTGGGTCAGTGATTTTGCCTATTGGGAGAGTAGGTTGTCAGAACAGAAAGCTCTAAGCTGGCAATTCATGGAGCCTGAGAGTCCATGTTGAATTATATATTTTCAATTTTAAAAATGACTGCATAATAGTCCATAATGTAGATATACCACAGTTTATTCAATTCTTTGCCTAATATCTCTAGGATCAACTCTTTATTTTCTTTAAACACTTTTTTATTTTCAGATAACTATAGACTCACATGCGATCGTGAGAGGAGAGACAGAGAGAGAGGGAGAGAGAGAGAGAGGGAGATTTTCCGTATAAATGACCCATTCTTCCCTGGTAACAC